CATGCGGCGTCAATTTATTGGTGATAAAATTCCAATTTGTCAAATTTTCACTGGATTTTATCTATTTTATTGCTAACGAAGTTCATTAGTAGACCCTGTATTCAAAAGATGCTCACTTCACTTTATTATCTTGTATGATATAGATTATTCGGCTTCTGTAGATCTATATATTAATACGTGAAGCAAAAACTTTTTATCCCTTTTTACGAAAATTGCGCGGACGGAGGAGTATGAAATTTTCCACACTTATAGAGAGTATAGAGACGAAGTGCAGAATGCTAATTTTTTTAAATTATGCCTAAAAAAATACAAACACATTACACACACTACATACCGTGTATTTGAGGCACACACGCATGCATACTACTTATTGTCAAGCTTTTGTTCTTGACGTCTGTTGTCTAATTGAGAATAGAATATGGTTTGTCTTTGTTAATATTTTTTATAGTGTAGTCTTGGCGAAATTTGTGATTATAGAAGTGTAAAATACAATCATAATAGTGTACAAACTTATAATTCCAATTAATTATAGTCGAATTTCGACTACTGCGGGACCTCTAGTACTTTTAAATCCGTGAATGCCATACCTAACGTTCAAGCTCGTTTTATTTATTGCGTCAATTTGTTATGGCCCATAGACATCACCGCACATGCAGACCACCAGCTGAAGCACGAGGTCTAGCTCTTAATTGTATACGTGTAGTATAAATCTGTCCTACTGTTCAATCATTATAATTTAAGTTTTTTTTTGTGCCTACCTAAGCTGTGAGCCTTGAGACGCTATATCAGCGTTACCTTAACTAGTAGGTGAGCTCACGGGGCTCAAACCTGACGACGTTGCTAACACGAACCCTAGCAAGAACCGTGCTTCGCAGAATCTACCACCGGATGGGAAACGCGACCCACTGAGAAACTCAGTGGGCTGTGTCTGAAGGTTTAAGAAAGATTGACGTAAGGAAATGAAAACGGTACGTTTAGATCGTGTCATTATTGAGACAGGACAAAGAAAACATAATTGTGGACCCATGCTTCACTTGAATTGACTAATAAATTCAACGCCTTAAGATATTTTTTAGCAAATCGATATTAAAAAATTAATTTTTTTAAATAGGTTCAGGGACTATCTTTTGTAATGCAATGGATAGGTGTAGAATTATATTTACATATTGAATATACGCCTTTTAATTCATAGATAAAAATTATCTGTCAAAGACTCGAAAAGGCTGGTCATATGGCCGGTCGAGTGGATCTAATGGGATAACTGGATTCCTTCCTTTCTATGGCATCCGTGAATGACATGAAACTTAAAGAGATGAAACCGATTTTTTTTAGGGATTTTATGACCGGGTAACTAAGACTTTTAGGTCATGTCTTATTTTAATAATATTCTTATTTTTATGAAAAATTATAATATGGAGTGAAATGAAATGAAGATGAATAATTTGATACATTAATCAACTGGGATGAAATTAAATAAAATGAGATGAGTTGAGATGATATATGATGAAATATAAATGTCAGTAAAATGGTGGTCATTTACTAAGATTATTTCAATGAACTTTTTGAAGGATCCCGAGAAGTTACGTCCAGCAGCTTTGTTTCATTTTCCCCCTTTTATGCACTTTCACCGATATTAAACATTTAATAAACCACCGTTATACACATTTAAGCCTGAACAAACACTAAATAAACAAACTAAAACAAATCACACAACTTCACTCCTCGCGTTCCCGCCAAAAAGTCCCACGAAAAAGATAAATAGCAAGATAACCCTCACACTAGCACGGTATGTGGCCTTTTGTGGATCCCACTTTTCCTATAGATTTTACGATTAGATATTGCACTATCCGCTACCGTCTTTCTTGGTAGGAACATCAGCGTTTAGGTGAAGATGCTCTGTAGGTATAAGCGCGGGTAGGTACCTACCACCACCCTGCCTATTTCTGCCGTGAAGCAGTAATGCGTTTCAGTTTGAAGGGTGGGGCAGCCGTTGTAACTATAATGAGACCTTAGAACTGATATCTCAAGGTGGGTGGCGCATTTACGTCGTAGATGTCTATGGGCTCTAGTAACCATTTAACACCAGGTGGGCTGTGAGCTCGTCCACCCACCTAAGCAATAAAAAATAAAATAAAAAATAAGCTAGGTTTAGGGTTTGCGAAAATTTTTTGACCAAAACTTTTTAGTCTTTGAAATGCGTGAAAATTATCATCATGTTATTAAACTCACTTAAGCTTCCATTATTCAGAACAGAAACTGAAGATTGAAGAATCAATCACATAAAATCGCAATTGACCATCTCCGTCAAAATTCCCATATCTAAACTACATAAAATGTGTATTTTATCGTGTAATTTGATTCACGAAAAATAACATTACAATCGCAATATCTATATATTAATACGTGAAGCAAAAACTTTGTAACCCTATTTACGATAATTGCGCGGACGGAGAAGTATGAAATTTCCCACACTTATAGAGAATATAAGAGACGAAGTGCAAGATGCTAATTTTTTTAAATTATGCCTGAAAAAATACATTAAATCAATAAAAGAAACATAACACACACTACCATGTATTTGACACACACACAAACACACACACTCCGGCAAATATACTCTTCGTTTATTGTCAAACTTTTGTTATTGTTTAAAATCTGTGCTCAAATTCAGAATAGATTAATATTTTTTGTCTTGTGATTATAGGAAGTAAAAGAATAGTTCTTGACAATAGAATCATAATGATGTTCAAACTTTTAATTTCAATTAATTATATTTGAATTTGTGTCAGACATGTTGGGGGGGGGGGGGGGGCTTTGCCATAATCGCCACGCTTGGCATGCGGGTTGGTGATCGCAGTGTACTGTTATGATACTCGGAGAACGCTGCTGCCCATTCTCTGGATAATCCCTTAGTCGCCTCTTAAGACACCCACGGGAGGAGAAGGGGAGGTGTTATTCTTTTTCGAATGACCGAAGACGTAGCGTGGGTAGGCGTCCCACAAGGTGAGCCGAAGACCTACTGAGGTTCGCGGGGATCCGCTGAATGCAGGCAGCGCAGGCCCGGTCTTTGTGGCGAGGCTTGGGGGAGACCTATGTCCAGCAGTGGACGTCCATGGGCTGATAGGATAGTTGAATTTCGACTACCGGGGGACCACTAGTTATCGTTAATAAACATTGATAGAAAACAAGGAATCGTGGAATAAAATGCTTATATAGGCATTCATTTCATTTCATTTCATTTATTATTAAGTAATTTAACGGCCGTCTGGTGTAGTGGTAAGTGACATGGTCACTACACAAGGGAGTCGCGGGTTCGAATCCCGCAAAGGGAAGATATTTGTATGATAAATATAAATGTCTTTTCCAGGGTTATGGATGTATATGACATATGTTCAGGCCAGTGCCTTCAATTATTTTAGAGCAATACCAAAGATGCTAGCTCTCTAAGGCGCTAAGTATCACAGCTTAATAAGTTAATGTATTTCACCATCATTCACTACCCGCTCTTCAAGCTCGCTGTACATCTCCATTAAAATATATCACAATAATATCAAGAGTTGGAGTTTTATTACCACGAGAAACTCCCTTATGTACCACAAGCCGGTACATAAATTGGTGGCCCATGAGGGGAACTATACGACAAGTTAAGGAAGAAATCACGGGACTCCCCTTGGTTGTCAAGAATATCGGAATCAAGGAGCCAACTTATCAGGACTTCAGGACAGGAGTGGTCAGTGGATCAGCTAAAGGTTCACGCCGGGAGTTGAGGTCTGCAAAAAGATAAGTGCCCTTTCCTTGCCAACGTACCCTCAATAAAATTATTAATTATTAAATTCCCGATTAAAAGCTTTCATTGCGTTTAGCAAGTATTATTTTCATTATTTTGCTTTAAATTAATATATATTTTATCGAATTGCCTTGATTAGTGCACATTTTTTATTATTTTACATAAAAATAAAACGTGGAAAACTGNGTCAGGACTGTATTTTGATACACAACTGCATTCGTTTTTACACCTTTCTCACAAAAATGTACCTCTGTTAAGCCCCAATAAGAAACTCCCAACGATACCATGAGCGAGGATGGAAAATGACCTCGTTGGACACGCGGAATACGGTTGCTCGCTTCTTCACTACTGTGTGCGTACACCTTATCATTTTGTTTGTTGTAGCTCTCTTCTATGGTAAAAATTTTTTCAACCGAAAAAAGAATTTCCCGATATTTTTTTCCCGCGTACCGCTTTAACAAAGCGCGGCATCTCTTCAGTCTCAGGTCCATTAGACGAGCATTCGAACGATGTTCTGTTTTTCTTCGATATGCCCGAAGCCCTAAGTCTTCATTTAACACCCTTTTCACCGTGGTTCTGCTTAACCCCATCTGAAGGGCCAACAGTTTCTGCTTACGTTTGGGATTGCTTTGAATTCGCGCCTTCACAGCTTTTATCACTGCTGGAGTCCTAACAGACCGAGGGCGACCACTTCTTGACCTGTCGTCTACACTAGAGTCTTCATTGTATCGTTTGATGGTACGATAAACGAATCTTTTGGTTATATTAAAAAAGTATGTTAAAAATTTGAATTGGCGCGTAACCGCGACGATGCAACGCAATAACTGCAACACGGTCTTCTTTAAGCGTCCACTCCATATTTAAAAATGAGTAAAATTCTAAGAGTAAATACATTTTTATTTCCATGAACAATTCGAAATTCGAATTCAATAAACTTTTTTGTGGCCAGCATTCTAAAAGAAAAGTTTTTACTGTGTGACAATCCTTATGACCTGACTAAGTACATTGATAGAAAACAAGGAATCGTGGAATAAAATACCTATATAGTGATTTAGGCAACCCCGATTTTTAAATAAACTAACACTCGCTTATCATCGAACCGATAAAATTAGGTTAAAGATCGCGCCCGTCCTTCGGTAATTGCGTTATTCGACTGTAAAAATCAAAAATTAGTCGTATTTTATCGTTTGTCTTCATAAAACGTATTTGTAAAATGTGGTTTAAACTAATAATTATTTCTGTTTTCGGTGTGGGTTGTTCGGTAAGTTGTTTTTAGTACTTTCCACTATATGCCTTCGTAGGGTGCTGGAATTTTTTTTTTAAATTTTTTTTATTGCTTAGATGGGTGGGCAGGGTAACCACTTGGTGTTAAGTGGTTACTGGAGCCCATAGACATCCACAACGTAAATGCGCCACCCACCTTGAGATATAAGTTCTAAGATCTCAAATATAGTTACAACGGCTGCCCCACCCTTCAAACCGAAACGCATTACTGCTTCACGGCGGAAATAGGCGGGGTGGCGCTACCTACACGTGCGGACTGACTCCCAAAAGGTCCTACCACCAGTGAAAACTTTCCACTGTATGCCTTCGTAGGGTGCTAGAATTCGTCAGACATATTGCTCGTAAAGAGGGTCACAATCTAGAACAGCTGATGGTGACAGGAAAGCTAGATGGCAAACGTCCCAGAGGACGCAGCCGCACGAGATCGTCGGACCAAATACGATCTTCTCTGAAGATCAACTTCCACAATGCCCTTCATGAAGTTAAGGATCGCAGCAGAAGGAGGGGAATCGTACAGGACAAACTGATGTCAGCGGGGGAGTCACGACCCTCTGTCATGAGGAAAACGACGCGAGGAGGAAAGGCTGTTGTGGGTTAGAGAAGTGGCTGGTACCGGCATCCTGTGAGCTCTACTGGTCGTTTCTCTGGAGATTCTGCGAGGAACCAAATGCTACCGATATAAAGTTGAAAAGCTTGTAGTTTTGTAGTCACTGAACGAATTATTACCCTCTAAAATGGCTTTGACTAGATCCGAATCGTGGCAACAAACCGCCACAGGATTGCTGCCACGCAAGCTTGCGGCTCTGGAACGACTCTTCAAGAATAGGAGGCTCAGGAGGTAGCGTCAGGTTTCCGTGGAATAGTGCTGTTTCCGTTAATTACTAAGTTCGATTATTTTTTTATGCCATCACCCACCTTGAGACATGTGTTCTAAGGTCTCACTTTTAACAGTACAACGGTTGCCCCACCCTTCAAACCGAAACGTATTACTGCTTCACCGCAGATATAGGTAGGGTGGTGTACCTACCCGTGCAGACTCCAATACGTCCTACCACCAGTAATTGTGCAATGTAAATGTTATTCCTTCACCGTGGAAGTCAGTCGTGAACATTTGTGAAGTACGTATTTCATTAGAAAAATTGGTACCAGCCTGCGGGATTCGAGCACCGTTGCATTCCTACATACGAATGCACCGTATGCCTTAACCTTCAGGCCACGACTTCAAAATAAAATAAAACTATGACCATTCACCATCTATATCTATACTAATATATAAATCTACAGTGGTTTTTACGGATGTTTCGTTATAACTACTGAACCATGCAACCGATTGACTTGAAACGTGGCATCCATGTAGAAAATACATGTACTTAATGTATAAGCTAATATTTATATGAGTGTTGGACTCCCTAATAATAATGTTAATTTTAAATGCCCACTGAAGCGGGCGAGTACGGCTAGTACATACTAAGTGTACAAATCATCGTTACATCGAATAGCTCAGTATCTTGAAAACAATTCCACCAGGTAACGACCTCCTTTGATCTACGCGGGGTTGTGAACGGCAATCGCATGGCCGCAGTCCCCCTTGGCATATCCCCAGGTTTTGGAGAGCTGGACGTCGAGGGTATCTGCACAAAATCCGGAGTCGCATGCCTGAATTGTACGCAGGCCATCACGTGCATAGCATTGCCGGGGGGCTGGTTGAAGGTATCTTACCATCACTCATGGAAGAATGACGTAATAAATAATAGTTTAAAAAAAAAACTAACAAATTACGCTTTTATAGAAGATCCAACTAAAAAATAGAAAATAAATTTTTAATAAATTGGAATTAAAAATAGTGTAAGGAAAATTGATTTTATTGTAAAAAAGCGTTATTTATTTTTCATTTTTTAGTTGAATTTCAATTATATTGTTATTTTTTTAAAAAAAAATTTTATATTCAATTGTCATCGGTCCTTAATAAGTATATTAATCTGACGTTTTGAAGGGGTTAAAAATCATGTTCAAAGATTCCGTTACAAACATACACACTAACATACATACGTGTGAAGCTAATAAAAGCATATTAATAAGATAAGTAAAGTGAGTGCTTGTCGACTCTATTTCGAAGGGTCCGAACACTTCATAACTCACTGAGCCAAATCTTCTAAGTGAGTCGCCATTACAAGCCAGTGGTAAAATCAGCGAAGCACTGCTCTAGCCAGAGCTAGTGTTAGCAAATCCTCCCAGATCGAGCCCCGTGAGCTCACATACCTGTCCGCACCTATGTGTAATGTATGCGCATATGTCCCGGTAAGCAACCGGTCATCGTTCTCGTCGCACCCGTCGCTTGTGACGAAGGGCTCGACGAGTAAACTAACCCACAGACACAGCCCACTGAGTTTCTCGCCGGATCTTCTCAGTGGGTCGCGTTTCCGATCCGTTGGTAGATTCTGCGAAGCACGGCCCTTGCTAGAGTTCGTGTTAGCAATGTCGTCAGGTTTGAGCCCCGTGAGCTCACCTACTTTGGTTAAGGTTACACTGAAATAGCTTCTCAAGTCTATCAGCTTAGGTAGGAAAAAAAATAATGTTCTGGAGCGGAGCATGACAAAATTTAGGTTTTTTATAAAGTTTCTCATATTCAGGTCATTCGAGTGGACTCGATTTAAAATGAACCTCATTATAAACCTCAAATTCTTAACCCGAAGATAATCATAATGTCATGGTCGTTTTCGCTTAGACTTCAGAACTGAGCGCTCATACAGGTAGGTCTACCCGTCTGGACTAGTGATAGGATAATTTGTGAACCAACTCCTTTTTAATTGTTTTTTTTCTATAAAGATTGATTGAACATTTGTCTCAACTTAGGTCCCTTTAGAGAGCTGTACATCGGACACCACTTGCAACGCCCTCCTGGGAGGTTGTTCCAAGGAGTCCGTACCAGAGTGTGACGTCACGAATCAAAGATTCCACCACAGCTGTGAACAGGTAAATAATTATTGTCATATCATATAGCCATATAAGTCTAGTCTTGTTACTGAGCTCTCGTGAGGGGCCACTGCGATGCTATAGGCTCCAAGCTGCCAGATTATCTCTTCAAATGCGATAACCCTGCTACATAAAGTATGATCAACGCACCAAAAATTGCGCTAGACAAAAATTTCAACATCTGTGCTATTTACTAAAACTAGTGGTCCCGCAGTACCTATAATTAGTCTAACTCGAAACTATAATTAATTGAAATTATAAGTTTGAGCATTATTATGGTTCTATTGTCAAAGACTTTATTATGCTTCAACAATCACATATTTCGCCAAGACTACACTTTAGACAAATATTAATAAAGACAAACAATATTAATCTATGCTCAATTTGACCATAGACTATAAGCAATAAGAAAAGTTTGACAATAAACAAAATAATGTCAAATACATGGTTGTGCAATATTCTTATTATTGATTTAATGTATTATTATTGCATAATTTAAAAAAAAATTGCATTCTGCTCTCCTTCCCTATAAGTGTGGGAAATTCCATACTCTTCCGTCCGCGCATTTTCCGTAAAAAGGGGTATAGAGTTTTTGCTTCACGTATTAATATATAGATTATAAATGCCGAAGTTTGTGACGATGCATGTATGTCAGTTATTGCTGTTTGACACAAAACTACTGAACATGTTTTGATGAAGCTTCACACTCTAGTAGCTTATACATTAGATTAGCACATAACGTAATATAATCAATGCAGTATGGGTTGGCGGGCGAATAATATCAATAAATATCTTTCATACAACAAGCGATCACCACAGCCATTCAGACGCGTAAAACTAATAAGTACAATAGTATCATTTTTTATTATTATTTAGATGGGTAGACAAGCTCACGGTGGAGCCCATAGACATCAAAAACATTATTGCCTCTTACCTGAAACATCAGTTTTAAGTCACAACTTCATACTAAAACGACTGCCCCGCCCTTGAAACCGAAACGCATTACTTCGTGGAAGAAACAAGCTTCACCACAGAAACAAGCAGTGTGGTAGAAACTACCAATGCAGGATGACAAGATGCGTGTAGCGAGACCGAGTCCGACCCTGCGCTGAAGCATCGCACTATATATAATATTCGACGGTACTCGCAAAATGCTACATACCCGATCCTGCGGACCAAATGGTAAACAGTCGACGTCGCCCAAAACACGTCATTACGGATGCTCCCGATCCATTAACGGTGCTTTTAGGTACCTCAAGCACCAGTCATCGTTCTCGTCGAACCCGTCGCTTGCGACGAAGGGCTCGACGAGCGAATTAACCCACAGACACAGCCCACTGAGTTTCTGGTCAGATCTTCTCAGTGGGTCGCGTTTCCGATCCGGTGATAGATTCTGCGAAGCACTGCTCTTGCTAGGGCCAGTGTTAGCAACACTCCGGTTTGAGCCCCCTCACCTACATGTTAGGGCGAAGCTGAAACAGCCTCTCAAGGCTATCAGTATCATCATCATCATCATTATTTCCTATTACCCTCTACTGGGGTGTAGGGCTCGAATCAAATTTTTCCTCTTATATCTAGGCTATCAGCATAGGTAGTAAAATTAAATATAAAATGGTAATTGGTGGTATCATGTCACTGCAACAAAACCACACGCGTTATATTCTCCAGAAAATATCGAAGAACGTTTCATTACTCATTATTAACACGATATTAACAATCATATAGTCACAGTTAAACAATTTATGCATCTTTTAACCATAAGTAAATTATCGTAAAACCGGCTTTCGTTCGAAAAACAAAGGTCAAGGATTCGAAGTAATATTATGAGCTAGTGAAATCTGGTCGTGTTTCTACTGCGACTATCGCCGACTGTATGAAAAAAACAATTTATCGAAATTACTTGCACATACACCGTCTATTGCACAAACATATACGGTAACATGCGTAAAATCTACCCCGGAGTGCCCACTGCAAGAAAGTTTTATCATCAGACTAGCTGACCGGGCATACTTCATAGTACCTCAATCGATAAAATATAAAAGACCTAAACTTTTGTATAAAATAAACTTAGAAACAAACAAAAAGAATCCGTCCGACGGGGGACACATCAAAGGAAAAACAAAATTGTTATTTTTATTTAATTCCGAGCATTTTCATATTTATCTACCTTTTAAACCTTCTCTGGACTTCCATAAATAGTTCAAGACCAAAATTAGCCAAATCTGTCCAGCCGTTCTCGAGTTTTAGTGAGACTAACGAACAGCAATTCATTTTTATATATATATAGATGATGCACAGGACGACGATACAAGATCTACTGGTGGTAGGACCTACTGTGAGCCCGCACGGGTAGGTATCACCACCCTGCCTATTTCTGCTGTGAAGCAGCAACGCGTTTCGGTTTGAAGGGTGGGGCAGTCGTTGTAGCTATACTTGAGACCTTAGACCTTATATCTCAAGATGGGTGGCCCATTTACGTTGTAGATGTCTATGGGCTCCAGTGACCACTTAACACCAGGTGAACTGTGAGTTCGTCCACCCAGCTAAGCAATAAAAAAAACAGAAATTAGGAGATTGAAGGAGAACCAACATAACCGATATAGCCCAAAGGTTGGCGAGGCTGAAGTAACATTGGGGACATTGGGCGAAGAACAGATGGCCACTGGAGCCGACAAGTCCTCGAGTGGCGATCGCGTACCAGAATACGCAGCGTGGGTAGGCCTCTTGTAAGATGGACTGACGACTTACTTAAAGATCTGGGGAATCCACTGGATACGTCTTACCCAGGACCAGCCGACCGGCCGACCGACCCAGGACCAACCGACCGGCCTACCGACGAAACTTTAGCTATACCTATGTCCAGCAGTGGACTTGTGTAGGCTGATGATGATGATGATAATCTATCCATAAAGAATAAACGTACAGAAATACAAACGTTGATATTAATTAATGTACAATATCATAGTTTTAATGTCTTTGATATTTGTCGTGTCATTCATTTAAATTTAATTTATAGCTAAATCTAAATTAAAACTTTAGAAATGTCAAAATTATAATAGAAATTAGATAGATAATTTGTCATCGTATTTAATATTATAAGATTGATCTAATATATAAAATTCTCCTGTCACGGTGTGCGTGATTGAACTCCTCCAAAACGGCTCGACCGATTTTCGTCAATCTTAGCGTGCATATCGGCCAGGGTAGAGAATCGAACAACCTCTATTTTTCATCCCCCTAAATGTTAAGGGTAAATTTAATTTAATTTTTTATTTTGTAGACAAATTTACCCCTAAATTTAATTTTTTTTTTTTTTTTAATGTTAGATTTTTTTTAAATATGTATTTTTTACAATGAATATTATAACGTAACAATTACTGCAATATTGAAATGCCCGGAGCGGCAACTCATTCCCACTTTGTGCAATCTTCTAGATAATCATTGCCTTTATAGTAAGCTTTATTGCACAGATGTTCTTTATTATAATATATGATATAAAAAAACTCTACTAACACTAACTACATACTAACACCCAATGCGTTCATTATTAGTTTTAAAATGAAAGCGGATTTTTTAGTTGCCATTTTTTTTTAGATGCTTGGACGACATCACAGCCCACCTGGTGCTGAGTGGTTACTGGAACCTATAGACATATACGACGTAAATGCGCCACCCACCTTGAGATATAAGTTCTAAGGTCTCAAGTATAGTTACAACGGCTGCCCCACCCTTCAAACCGACACGCATTACTGCTTCACGGCAGAAATAGGCAGGTGGTACCTACCCACGCGGACTCACAAGGGGTCCTACCACCAGTAAAAACTATTCTCTTAATGTCGGGCTTTTTCAATCTTTTGACCGATTTCAATACATGAGGTGTTATTAGATGTGTCTCAATTGTGAGAGTGTCAACCGTCATTTCACTACGGAGCCGCGACAAATATCTATATGTCACAGAATACGCAGATATCTTCATTATTTCGTTACACATTATAGTCGGTAATCGTGCAAAGAGGTTACGCACCACGAAACGAAGACAGATCCGAGACGTCTTCACTCTTCCTAAGTCAGGTAACGAATGTGTCTCGATTCCACTCGAGACATCTCGACTCGGCCGAAGCACGCCACCCGAACTTCGGTCACCGTTCTCGTCGAACCCATCGCTTGCGACGAAGGGCTCGACGAGTAAATTAACCCTCAGACACAGCCCACTGAGTTTCTCGCCGGATCTTCTCAGTGGGTCGCGTTTCCGATCCGATGGTAGATTCTGCGAAGCACGGCTCTTGCTAGGGTTCGTGTTAGCAACGTCGTCAGGTTTGAGCCCCGTGAGCTCACCTACTAGTTAAGGTTACACTGGAATAGCCTCTCAAGATATCAGCTTAGGTAGGAAAAAAAAAAAAAAGAGCTGACGTTTGACTAGATGGCGCGCTTTCGTTTCGTTTGTCGGGTCCGGATGCGATATATACATATATTATTATTATTATTTATTAATTACATTTTAACATAGAAAACGAATTTCATTTTTTTTATAAACAAATCGCTTACGTTTGCCGCAATGTTCCAGCTGCATACAAATTTGAGTTAACTTGTACGCTATCGAGACCGTTAAAAAACTCGGCCTAAGCCCACTGGGGTGCGAGTACATGCGACCGTCTTATAGTTTAAGCTACGTAAATAAAACATAAATTTATTTTCCTAGGTCGGCGTGTTCCCTGACGCTCACGACTGCAGGAAGTTCCACCTGTGCTCGCCTCCTGAAGGTTTGCCCGACGGGAGACCAGCTGACCACAGAGCCGCGTTGTGCCCGAGACATTACGGATACGACCCCAGAACCGCACAATGTTCGGTAAAATCTATTTATAGTACTAACACGGAAACCGGCTTTTATGGTAGCTTTTATGTAGCTGTACCGTATGTTCCATGGGGAGTGCTCTGAGGAATTGTTTGAGGTGATCCCCTCATCTCCTTTTTATCACCACACCTCCCGCCATCGGAGCACAGTTTATCCATATTATCTGGAACCGCTGCGGTCATCGACAGTGTGTTTCCAGAGGTTTTTTTGCCACGTACCATCCGACTATGAAAGAGCTCCCCTCCACGGTGTTTCCCGAGCGCTACGACATGTCCTTCTTCAAACGAGGCTTGTGGGGAGTATTAAGCGGTAGGCAGCGGGTTGGCTCTGCCCCTGGCATTGCTGAAATCCATGAAGGACGGTAACCACTCACCATCAGGTGGGTGGCTGCCTACAAGGGCAATAAAAAAAAAAGCTGCAGTGATATCGTCTCTTAACCTATCCACTGTCCACTCCTAAACATAGGCCACTCCAAATTATCCCCATTGCGGCCGGTCTGGTTGCCACCTACATCCAACGTGACTCAGTGATTTTCACTAGGTCCTCAGTCCATCTGGTAGGTGGAAGCCTCACACTGCGCTTGCCAGTACGTGGTCTCCACTCCAGGATCTTTCTGCCCCTTCGGCCGTCCGATCTTCACGCTATGTAGCCTGCAGTGATACGAAAACCGTTATTCCATCACATTTATAACTCCAACTTTATGTCAGTTCACAGGTCGCATATGTGTTCTAGTATCTACTACTATTTGTGGCCTTATTCTTGCCGCTAAATATCAACAAGTTAGCTCTGGATAACTATTTAAAAAAGACATTGGTAAACTGTAGTAAGTGCCTCCTTTTTGTGCTCGAAGGTAAAGAGGAAGTGAAGATCTTCCACCGAACAAGCGTTATTGGTGGGCAGACTGACGCAACAGTCAGAATGTTTTCTTTCGAAACTGGTATATAATAAATGGGAACAAATCAGGTACGGTCATCCGACTTCAATTGAGGATTCGCTGTGTTATGGGTACCAGAGACTGATGAATATACTGAAATATGATGTTTAAATTTATACATAAATAAATAATACACAGCCAGAGAAAGAGCAAACAATCCTATTCATCATACGAATATTTGTCCGATATGGGAATCGAACCCACCCTCGGCGTAACAGTAATTAAATATATGTGACTATACTGAGACCTTAGAACTCAATATCTCAAAGGTGGGGGGCGGCATTTACGTTGTAGATGTCTATGGGCTCCAGTAACCACTTAACACCAGGTGGGCTGTGAGCTCGTCCACCCATATTATAGCAATAAAAGAATAAAAATATGGCTACTGCAAAAAAAAAATTGCATACCAATTGAGAGACACGCGTAATGCGGCACGCTAACCCGTTCGTGGTCGACCTGATTCAGTTCACCAAACATGCGATAATTAAGTTCGTAATGCAACGAAAATACTTCAGAATACTTGTTCCGCGTTATCGAAAGGCGAAAAACGTGAGTCCAAATGTGTTGTTTGTCTCTCAAGGCTGGTGAATACAAGTTCTTTTTATATTCTTTTTAATGTTGTATGTTTAAGCACAATGTACATGTAGAATTGGGATCGTAATACTGGGTTGGGAACATAAAATTAAACTATTCTACCGCACGGGTAGGTCACCCACCCTGCCTATTTCTGCCGTGAAGCAACCGTTGTACTGTTAAAAGTAAGACCTTGGAACTCATGTCTCAGGGGGGGTAGCGGCATTTGCGTGGTAGATGTCTATGGGCTCCGATAACCACTTAAAATAAGGTGGGTCTTGAACTCGTCCACCCATCTAAGATATAACCAAATGTATGGAAAAATATATCGCTTAAGGCCCAGCCCGACAAGTCAGTTCGATTAAATCCGCAACTTAATAGAAACTCCATTCCACGAAACCCTTCACGCGGCCAATGATAGGAAAGGCTGGAAAGAAATATGTATTAAAAAACAAAATCCTGTCTAATATGATGGTCACGATCCTCAGCAGTGAGGAAACGACGCCAGAAGAGAAGACATCTCTTAAGAATACTGTTTGGATAAGAAACGTCGGAAATAATTAAATGAAAACAATATAGGTACGCGAGATCGAACTCTAAAAGTAATTTTACGACTCGACTAAACCTAAAATCATACCTTGGTAAGAGAGTGAGGCAAATAAGCAAACTTCTTCCACTGAATATGTATTCGGAACGTTGATATGCAAGATTGTCTTAAAAATGGCGTCAGCAGACGAAAAATCGGCCGGAATTGATGCTGTAAAATTGTCTACTCTGGTCTTGGATAAAGAACAGTCGAAATTGCCAAATAAAATCTTCCGGTCTTATTTTAAGAAGAGATACAAGACACATAACTAATCAGTCATTTAATTTGAACATTTTCAGGTACCTTTAGAGCACGGGCAATGTAACCAGAGACCAGTACCCAAATGCTTAACGGTCGGCCAAAACGGACGGCTGAGTGGCAGCCCTAACCACTACTACGTGTGCTTAGATAAGCATGGCTATCTTCACCCGCAAGTTTTCGTATGCCCTCACGGTTGGATCTTTCGCGAGGCATTCTGCTACCCTGAAAACGTCATCAACAGCGCATCAGACGATTCGGCCAGCTCTGAAGAAATCAAGAGTACAACTATGAGGACTACCAGTACCAGTACCACAACGAAATCAGAGGGATTCTTCTCGACGGAGAAGTCGACGACTTATCCGGCCGACACGTTTTTGGCCGACAAGTTTGACTTTAGTAATTACGAAAGCGTAGACGAAACAAAAAATCAAAGCGGTGACAGTTTCCTAACTTCCCTCGAAAGCTTCGGGGACTATAATTTTAATTAGATTAATTTTACGAGTAGATTAAGATATTCAAGGCCAAATAGGATTTCAATGAAAACTACTTTGTAATTTTTTATTAGCTGTAATATGTGTATAATAAATACCTCCATACATAGCATTGTCGATTTTAATGTAGCCCTTTCAGGATAGTATTTATTGAAGGAATAACATCGTGTAATAAAAATCAAACCCGCAAAATTATAATTTGCGTAATTACTGGTCGTAGGACCTCTTGTGGGTCCGCGCGGGTGGGTACCACCACCCTGCCTATTTCTGCCGTGAAGCAGTAATGCGTTTCGGTTTGAAGAGTGGAGCTGCCGTTGTACTGTAAAAACTGGGACCTTAGCACTTATATCTCAAGGTAGGTGGCGGCATTTACGTTGGAGATCTCTATGGGCACGAGTGACCACTTAACATCAGGTGGACCGTGAACTCGTCCACCCATCTAAGCAATAAAAAAAAAAAAAAAAATTGAACCTTATGTCTCTCATGTTAAAGCCCGATATTGATTTCCGAGGAAACGGTACAAAATACGGTAGGAAAGCAAAGGGCCGTCAGATGTGGGTCGATTAACATTTGACACACAATGACGCGCTAATACTCGTACATATATACATATTGTAAAATGTAAAAAATAATGTATTAGATGAAGTACCGCTATCTCGATATATTGTTGGAAAACAATCACGCAGACCTTTGTACCGCGAGTACAATGATATCAATGCGATCTACGGGCCGAGCCGGGTTAGACGCGCTGCGAATTATAAGCGAAAGCGTTTTAATAATGCTAAAATGACGTTTCAGAGACATGTTTGTGTAAAGCGTGTGCAAAGCGTGGTTTTACTGGTGGTAGGACCTCTTGGGAGTCCGCACGGGTAGGTACCACCACCCCGCCTATTTCCGCCGTGAAGCAGTAATGCGTTTCGGTTCGAAGGGTGGGGTAGCCGTTGTAACTATAATGAGACCTTAGAACTTATATCTCGAGGTGGGTGGCGCATTTACGTTGTAGATGTCTATGGGCTATAGTAGCCACTTAACATCAGGTGGGCTGTGAACTCGTCCATCCATCTAAGCAATAAAAAAAAAAGAAAAAAAAAAGCGTGGACTGTAATTTGTGCTGGTCGCTTCAATAATTCGACATATTCAGAGAGAAGGTTATTTTTATTTTATTTTAATGTAGTTACAACACGTGCACGTACGACCCGAATTGTTGATTGACTTACAATTACTGTGTTGTCAAAATTACTATTCTGTTTCAAAATTCAAAAAATAGTTATACAAACTTCATGTTTAGAATTGCTCTAAACAATGTTCAAGTGAAACTTATGCCGTAATCTTTATCTATACATATAAATAAAAATGGAGTGTCTGTTTGTAATATTGAAATAACCGCTTTTTACTACATGCATATGAATATATATACGGTACAAAAAGCAATATAACATTTTTTGCAATTTTTGTCTGTGTCTGTCTGTCTGTTTGTTCCGGCTAATCTCTGGAACGGCAGGACCGATTTTGACGGGACTTTCACTGATAGGTAGCTGATGATATAAGGAGTAGGCTACTTTTTTTAGACTAGATTTGCCTCGCGGCGTCACCCGCGGTACGATAATAACCGCGAATAACATCGCGAAACTCAGCTAGTTAATAATATAAACAGAGACTTTTTTAGACATTTCACACATAAAATATTGTCATACTGAACTAAATTTTGATGCTTAATAAAGGCTACATTTATAAGTGACCAGTTGCTATTCGTGTATTTCCTACGTATTTTCCCAGCCCTTTTTCATTTGTCAAGTTACCAGAACACGCTTGCAAACCTTTTTCTTTAACCTATATTAATAACTATAATATTAATAACTATAACTATATTAATAACCTTGCTTGTTTTATTAATCTTCTTTATTTATACCGTAATAATAAAATTAAATGTTGTTGTTGTTGTCCTAGGGTACCCCGCTGGTACATAGGGCCCTCACAAGTTGTCTCCACTTTACCTTGTCTTGCGCTTGCTCCTTGACATCACTCCAGGTCACGTTGGCAGTCCTCATCACTCTCCACGGTGCGTCGCCAAGTGTGTACAGGACGACCAGGTCTTCTCCTGTCAACGCCACTCAAACGCGATTGATGCTGCATTGACTCCGCTGCGCCGTAGAGTGTGTCGCCATAGAGTAAATTATATGAAACACAAAAAATAACACGCAATTAACGATTACCCAAAGAGGCTTCAAATGATTTAGTTAATTTCATCTACATCCGCTCTGGAATGTAGGAAAGAAACTACCATGTACAGTTCCTCGGAGCACTCCTCACGGTACATCAGATTACTAGTAGACAACATGCCTTCGATTTATATTTACTTCCTATATTAGTTCATTTCATTTGCATAGTGTATCTTTCTTGAGGAAACATCCGAGCACACTTCAAGGAAGATGGAATACCAGTCATCATGCTGGATATATATATATATATAACCTGGATTATGTTAGTTTAAGTAATAAATAAATGGTCAGGTAGAATTTTGGATGAAAAGAAGCTGATGAATCTTGGTTTACCTGCCAGAAAGAAAATTAAAAAGTCTAAATTACCATCACAATACGTTAAAAACATGTAGTAGGACCTCTTGTGAGTCCGCGCGGGTAGGTACCACCACTCTGCCTATTTCTGCCGCGAAGCAGTAATGCGTTTCGGTTTGAAGGGTGGATCAGCCGTTGAAAACTATACTTGAGACCTTAGAACTTATATCTCAGGGTGGGTGGCGCATTTGCGTTGTAGATGTCTATGGGCTGCAGTAACCACTTAACACCAGGTGGGGTGTGAGCTCGTCCACCCATCTAAGCAATAAAAAAAATATCATTAGGAAAAAAGCTGTTAATTATTTTTAATAAACGCACATCTTTGTTCACACTGAGTTACCTATTTAAAAATCTGCTTTAAAATTCAATTTTCAAGCTAAGCCAGCTATAAAAATTTTCAACTGAATTTTAATTTACAATGCTTCGACTAAATTTATAATTTCGAAAAACCCTTTCCTATAGTATCCCTAGAAAGAAATAGCTTTGTAGAAATAACTTGAGACTCCCGCTCTCGCCTCAGTTTTTATATTACACCATACGCGACTTGTGCAGGGCTAGCGGTTTATAAAAAACGTACACCTCTGACATTAGACACTGAAATTGCATCAGAGTTCGGTGCGATCCGCCGTGGGAAGCTTACCTATAGACACACTATGATGGTACATTAGTGTGGAAATGGCTTTCACTTTAACGAATGCGTAATTAAAATCGAAATTAGACAAGTAAAGATTTTCAAAACTTCTTACTAGTAGTAAGGTGTATCAGCCCGCACGGCTAGATACTATCACCCCGCCCATTTCTGCCGTGAATCAGTAATCCGCTTCGGTTTGAAAGCTGGGGCAGCCGTTGTACTACTATAAAAACGGAGACTTAGAACTCATGTTTTGGTTTGGTTGTTGGAGTCAATGGGCTCCGGTGATCTAAGCAAAAAAAGGTAGCATTCAAGTCTTGCTGTCTATGGATTTAAGCTTCATTTTGACTGAAGTCAAGAGGATCGTGAGTTTGACAGCACTTAGAAAGCTCTCGTGCAATGCCTAAACTCGATCAGATTGACCTTTTATTAATATCAAGACGTGAACTAAGCAAGCAAGACATCCTTGTAGGATACAATGACTAATAAATCTTTGAACTAGTTTCTCTTCTATACTATATTAATATTATAAAGAGGAAAGATTTGTTTGTTTGTTTGTTTCGAATAGGCTCCGAAACTACTGGACCGATTTGAAAAATTATTTTTCCATTAGAAGCTGACATTGTCCCTGATGAACATAGGCTACTTTTTTAATTTAATTTTTTATTTTATTTTTTTGGTTTCATGTGTGTTTTAATGTTTCCGAAGCGAAGCGAGGGCGGGTCGCTAGTTGTATATATTTGAATAGATAATGATGAAGAAAAAGGCCAAAAATAAACACTTTACAAATTATACTTGTGAATCGATGCAGTTTCAATATTGAAACACCAATTATACAACTGAGTATTAAGTCTGTAGAGTCAGTAGTAATTGAGAGTCAGTATTAAATTATGGTCTGTATCAAAACTGACAACTTTGTTTCTTCAGTTTCAAGCCGGTGAAGGAAATTGATGATGGATGGAAGACATGTTGGGTATGTGAATAAAATCCAAACGAGCCGATCTTTCATACATTGCGGAAATCAAATAAATTGAAAATAAAAATATATATTAAAATAAACTTTTTTTTTAATATTAGACACCAAAAGTTGTTAAGCAAATTTTATAAGTGCAAATGAACGTAATTTTACCAATTTGGTATGGATATCCTTAAAGCTTTCGAAGCTGACACGGGTGAGCACGTGCGATATACAGCGTAGTTCGAATAAACAAAGCTGCGGGCGGAAAGATAATCTAAAATATAACAGACTATTTTTAATGGCCGAACCTCTAATTCAACACAATGAAACAACGATTTACTCCTACGGTTCCAAATGTATGTATTTTATAACAGCTAAAAACGACCCTCAAGATGCGCTCATCTCATAACAGCCTCTTATGCGTGGGATCTGGATCCTGTGTTCAGCTTATTAGTGACGTAAATATAGATTGCACTATAGTCTACAAAAATAAATTGTTTCAACAATGCCCATTATACGTAATAAATACGTGCATAAACAAACATAATAACTGTTTACAAATATCGAGTTTTATTGACTTTATAAATATTCATTAGAATGTAAAAAGTCCTGTTCTATATACGTGAGCGTCGACGCGAGTATTTTGTCAGCCGAAATGCCAAGTCGATTCGCTGCGAATCTACGAACCGCTATACAATATAACACAAACAAATGATCTTGATATTTGATTAAAATAATTAATTATTTTGATAGTATATATTAAAGGCAGCTCTCGTTCAGAGAATCATCGTGTTTGTTTTTCTATGACCCCCTCCAAATTCGAGGCTGTTGTGCA